TGGGAATATTGTTTGAGGCCAGGAGTTTGAGACCAGCCTGGGCAACATAGCAATACCTCATATCTAACACAAGAAAATTAAATATAGCCAGTCATGGTGGTGCATGCCTGTAGTCATATCTACTGAGGAGGTTGAGAGGGGAAGATCACTTGAGCAAGGGAGTCGGAAGCTGCAGTCCAGGGCAGCTATGATTGTGCCACTGCACTCTAGCCTGGGCCACAGAGGGATACCGCATCTCAAAAAAAAAAAAAAGGGTCCAGGGAAAGGCACTGATTATGCAGTTTGGAAGTTTCCTAATGATGCTGCCATATCCCACTTCCAAACCACTATGCTTTAGATTTATGACTTACAATTTTATCACAGTTTTTAAGAAGTGTGCTTTACAATACTTCGTTTCTAAATTGAAGCATTACGATGGTGACGTGAGCTGACATTCCTGGCCATTGCCTGGAAGATTTGGGGCCACTGGGGGAACAGGATTGGTGCCCAGGAGTTCTAGTGTTGTAGCCTTTGGATAGAAGTAAATGTCTGTGTCAGCATGTAGGATGCAGTGGGGCTTTTTAAAAAAGGTTAAAAACTCTAGTTTCCCCTGCTTTCCTTCCCAACTCCACCCCCCGCCCCGTTGAACATATTTTATTTGCCAATAGGTCAAGGAGGTTAAAAAGACTTCATCAGGCTTGGAACTTCTCATGGTTACTTCAGTTCCTGGTCGGAAACCCACCGTGACCACAATTCCAGATGTTGACTGCCTGCTCTGGGCCATCGGGCGGGACCCAAACTCCAGGGGTTTGAATTTACACAAAGTGGTAAGCTGACTTAGTGTGCCCAAAACATTCTCAAATCTGTTAGTAGCCCTGTGATCCCCACCCCTTTACCCTGAACACCCCAAACTCAGTTAGGTTATATTGGATTCTTTTCTCTTTATTTTATATATCCATTTCGTCATCAAATTCCATTATTTCTTCCTTTGAAATAAAAAAAAAAAAGTTATTTTCCCTTTCCGGTATTATCACCTGGATGAAGCCCCTGTCACTTCTAATCTAGATTGACCAGCAGTTTCCTGCCTGACCTCCTCCTTACAGACTTCCTTTTTGCTGTGCGAATGTCTTTTCGAAGTTCTGTACCAATCCCTTATCATCTGCAGTATCCTAGCCAGATTGCTGGGTGTGCAGCTGTCCTGGACATTGTGGTACCTGGGAAGGGAAACAAATGCGAAGCTGTCTCTCTTCTGGCTTGACCAATGCTATGTATGCAGACAGTTGGCATTTATATTTTTTTTAATTTTGAAGGAAAGTCTGGTATAGCAGCTTGGGGCATGGTTGCCAGAGTTTGACCGACATTTGAACCTTAGTCTGTTACTTACCAGTTGCATGGCCTTGAGCAAGCAGCTTAACTTCTTTAAGTTTCAATTGCTTCACATTCAAGATGGGAATAAAAATAGTGCTTGCCTCTCTGGGTTATAGAGAAGAGTAAATGAGAAAGCATGTGCAAAGTTACCAGTTTAGACCCTGGGCTATAATATGAACACAAGAAATGTTAACCTGCTGTTGTTGATGATGATAATGGTTTTTTCTGATATGCTGTAATACTCTGTTAGTAGTAAAATAATATTTTATGTTTGAGGTTTATATATTTGATAGAGC